TGGGACGCCTTGCACTCCATCCCCACAGCATCCTGCACACCCTCACCCTCTCCTGCTAGGCCCAGGTGAGCAGATGACACCAGGAGAACTGGCCCCAAAGACACAAGGCAACAGGAAAGGCCCAGGTACCTGCTCTACTGGATGGGATCCAAGCAGTGCAGCCCAACTTCTGAGAAATTAGTCCCAGTTTGACTTCTCCAGTCTCTGTCTCAATTCTCATGCCCCTTCTCAGGCTCACATTTCTCCTAATCTTTCTCAAGCCTAGGACCTATCTCTTCCAGGCACATTTCCTCCCTCCACTTCTGGAAGTTTGCTTCCCTAAGGGCTGAACTGAGATGGACAATGTCTACCCAGTGGAGCCAAGGGCTCCTCTCCCAGGCACAGACATGATTTTTAAGCCAGCCACAGAGCCCAGACATTTCCCAACAAGGCAATCTCCTGCTGCAGGAGCACAAGGTCTCTAGGTACCAGCATCAGGATCCTGGCTTTCTCAGGTGTGCTCTTTTCCATCTACATTTGAGGGCAATGTCAACACCAAAGCAGAGGTCACAGCACTAGTGATATACTTGGATACTTCAGCTTCTTGACTAGGGGCTGAAAAGCCACAATGGTGAGCCCAGTCTGCACAGAGGAGGGTGGGCTCCCCACTGCCCTGACTAGCAGGCAGTGATGGAAGTATGATGGAAAACATGTCACCCCATTGTGGGCCCTTCAGATCATCCATCCTGGTAATTCAGAGTTGGCATGAATGCACAGAAGGGCTCCCAGAACACAGCCAGGGCACAGCTCCATTGTACTGTGCCTTACAAACAGCAAGTACAAGACAACTTGAAGAACTACCAACATAAAACACCAAAACCAGCTACACTTTGCACTTCTGACTGAAATACAGGTGTTAGAGCAAGTGAGCAGCAAGGACAGGGAGATCAGCTGGACACAGGAGGAAAAGCATCACCAGTTTGTGCAGCTCCCTCTGAAACTGTCACCTCTTTGTCATCATCTGTGCACGCAGCTACCCTGCTTTGGGGAATGGAGGACATGAGCTCTACTTTCATCAGTGCATCCTCAGAGTGAGCTGAGAGTGATTTGAAGGATGGAGGACAGGATGAACGAATGAGGAGTTTTCCCCTCTCTTTGTCCCTGCTTGCCTTCTGCTCCATGATAACTCAGCCACCCGCCTGGCCGGGCTCAGGAAATCACTGGAGCTGGCACAGCACTCCCCTGGGACATGAGCATGGGTTGGGGACACTTGCTGCCCTCATCTCCCCGGGTCCTTGCTCCTGCTTGAGGCCACTCTCCACCAGCCTGAGGACACTGAATTTGTCAGCAGTGCCCATGCTCTGCCCAGCAAGGGATGGTCCCTGGGGGCCAGTGGGTGCACACAGGCAAGGGGTGGAAAGGAGCAATGGGGTGTTTTGCTCTGACCTTGAGCTGCCATCCCAGTGGGTGACCCAGCAGGGGCTCTGCAGGTCCCCAGCACTGTGGTCCATGAACACACAGTGAAGCAGCTTCCCAGACCTCACTGAGGGCACTGCTAGGGTCCCAGCCATGTGCCGGGCACCTGCCAAGGGCAATGGGCCCAGTAATATGGGGATGTGTCCCCAGCAAGCACCACATCTCCTGCATACTATGGGCTGGGTCACATGTGCCGTGGCTGCTGGCAAATGCTGAGATTACTCAATTTTCAAATTAAATCAGAGTCCTTGGGGTCTTCTAAAAATCCAAGCTCCACAGCCATTTGTCTCCTTAAATACAAACAACAGGCGTTTGAGTCCCTTTCCCATTAGGAGCCAGATTGATCTCTCCTGCCCCCTTCCCAGAGCCCCCCTCACCACACCACCCTCTAAGCACTTCTGCAGCTGGCTGAGCTGCTCCATGAGAGCAGCTTTGTGTTTGTTTGGGGATTTTTTTGGGGAAAAGGAACAGACCACAAACAGGAGGGACCACACTGCTGAACACGCCTGTACCTTTCCTCCCCTTTGGCTTCCCTCTTCTTTGGTTCCAGGATGTTCACTAGAGGGAAACCAGCCAGGGTCACCATGTCTCTCTTCTCTCCCATCACATGCACTCAACAGCATCCTGCCCTTGAGATGCTGGGGACATTTTGCCAGCAGAAAGCCCCACAGCAGGCAGAAACTCTTTGCTGTTGGGCCTGGCCAGCCACTGACACTGGTGGAGATTTCTTGCACAGTCCTGCAGTGGAGAATCTCCTCCACCTTCATCTGGACACAGGCAACAGAGGAACCACTCTGGTGCTTGCACTGCTGCAGAGCAGAAACAAAGCAGAACAGATGTGGGCAGACACTATTGATCAAAATACGATGCAGATTGCAGAGACATTCAGAGAACTCACTGCCAAGGTCATGGCTTCTTTGTCTCTTTGTATCTTCTGAACTCATGTTGTGAGCATTTAGCCTGAAGAGCAATGGAGCTGCAACAGCAATGGTGCTATAAACCTACTTGGACTAGTTTCATCTCATCAGCTGACCAGGCCTGGTGAAGAGAGGAGTTCAGTACTGCCTCTATTCCAGCAAGCAACCACATCAGCCATGACAGCTATGAAAAGCCATTCAAGAAGCCCTTCAAAAGATGCTTGGACTTTCAAACACATTTCTTTGACCTGGGAAGCTCCTTTCCCAGCACTGCCAAAGCCTCCAGCCAGGCTGCAGCCATTAGCAACTGTGCAAAGTTCTCTGACCAACACTGTTAAACCAGAGGGAGAAACAGAAACACCTCCTAGCAGGGGCTCAATCAGTTTTCATTGCATGCAGGAAGGAAAAGAGGGGCCAGTAATAACCAGCAGTGCCCTGATAACACTGTTCTTCCCCGATGCTGGAAGCAGGAGTGATGCCCAAGCAGGACTGGAGAGACAGACCAAACCTTGCTGATTACAAACAACTAAGGGTTCCCTTAAGCTCACAGCAAAAATGTCTCCAGACAAATGCTCCCTGGGCAGCCAAAGGCACAACCTGACTCCTGGAGCCCTTTAAATTTCAAGGCCTTGCTTCAAAGCAAGATGAAAAGGGCAGTTCCCAATGACAAGGAAATAAAATCTTCCAACTTACGTCACGTGAGCAAAACAATATATTTTCACCTGATCTCCCTCTTGGAAATGGTCAGGTTTAGCTGAAATCAAACTTGCACACATAGAAAAATTGCAAATCAGCCCAAGGCAGACACCCAGCATGGAAACTGAAACCCCAGCACTTAAGAGTCTGGCAAGGTCATCAGCAACTGAGAACATGGCCTTGTACTGTGTGACAGTTGTAGGTTTTTAGAAGTGTATAACCCACTGCAGAGGCAGATGAAAAGACAAACCTTCTAAAAAAACCCCAAACAACTAGGCATACTGAAGTGGGCAAAATGTCTTTACCTGAGTCTTCACTCATCTCTGCTGCTAGGCTCATACAGGAAAACTGTCAGCAAACTTCATAGATATTAAAATTCACCTTATTGATGACCTTGCTTTCTTTCATGTGAACTTATATGCAAAGAGAAAGATCTTAATTTTTTACAATTATTATTTTTTAAATACAATGGAGAACTGGGATCTGTTTGCAGTTCCTATAAGGACAGCATTTGCTGTATTGATTTAGTATCATCCACATGAACAGGGAAAAACAGGCAGGGGAGCACTCTAGGACTTGGCTCAGCCCAGGCTGAGGAGGAGGGGACCTTGCAGCCAGAGCCACAGAGGCAGGGTGGCATTGACAGCTGGGCACTGGGCTGGGAAGGGAAACTGGTGGTGAGCAGGGTCCATGGAGGTATCCCAGATCCTGCTGGGCTCTGCTTGCTTTTGCTGTCACCCCTTCCCTGATGGCTAATCTATGTCTCATACCCCAAAATAAATTCTTCTTGCAGATTGCTGCTGGAAAGCCATCTTTTCTGCCTGAAGAAAATCAGCTTTCCCACTGCCCTCCCTGTACCCATAATGGCTCATCTCAGCACTGCCTTGGACATGCTGATAATGGCAGGTCAGTGTTGAAATGGATGGAGGATGAGAAACTAGCAGGAGAAAAGAAGTTGAGGAAAAAAAGCTGGAAAGAGAAAGGAACTGAGGTATGGAAGTCAGGCACAGCTGCATGGAAGAACCAGGAGGGTTCATAGACAGGAAAGCAGGAACAAAATCAAGAGGTAGGCAAGGATGGACAGTCCCTGTAGGGGACTCAGGTGGCAGGAGAACCACAGGGGCTCTTTTGGCCACGAATCTAGGAAGGGGATGAAGCATTCTTCCTGGTGGTCACACCTCCGTGGGCTGGGATTGCTTCCTGACCTGCAGCCCTCTGCATCCCACCCACAGCTCTGCAGGCTGACTCACTCCAGGCAGCTTAATCAAGTGCAGGCTCAGTGCTAAGCAGGAACTCTGAGCAGGTCTGTGGGGTTAGAAGGCTGCAGAGGGGGCAGGGGGGGCAGTGAACCGGGAAAGTGGGAAATCAATCTCTATGGGATTAACACTGAACTTCTTGCGGGAGGCAGAGAATCCCGGCCCCAGGGAAGGGTGACCTCCAGCTTGGCTGGTCCCTCCTGGAGTAACAGTGACCTCCTGTGGCTGCGGGACTGTCCCGAGGGGCTGGTTATTCCCTCCCTCTGCCCTGCAGCCTTGCAAAGCCACACTGAAGTCTTGCAGGGCTTTGGCCACCCTTCACCAGGACTGAAAGACTGACCTGCTGCCTGGCTCCTGGGACCCCTCTGAGGACACGCCCTGCACGCTGGATCTGCTGCAGGTGGACACCAGGAATGACAGTGTCCCTGGCTCCTCATAGCATTGCCTTTGCTGCACTGAGGGCAGGGAGGCACAGTTCTTCAAGGTGGTGGGCAGCAGGACTCTACCACCTCCAGCACTGAGACCGTCCTAAAGCATCTCCCACCAAACGTGCACACAAAACCACTGCCCTGCTCCAGGGAACCCACCATTTATGCAAAGACTGACAAAGGCAAGCCTGGAAGGTGACCAAAGCAGAATCATAGTGGTGGAGCTGGTCCATTACCAGCTCACTCACCTCCCTGGTATCGTTGTCCTGGATCAGAGCATACAGGGGCACCACTCTGTTGATCTCCAGCAGAACTGGTGTGGGGCTGAGCTGCTCCTTGCCGGGGCGCCGGCACAGGTGACAAGTGGCTGGGCAGCGTCCCTTCTCCTCGCAGTGAATCTCCACACCTGAGATGAGGTGATCATCCGACAGCATCTGTGCTGTCAGCAGGCCTGAGAGGTAGGTGATGAAGGGCATGGATTTCAACTCCTTCTTGTTCCCAAGCTCGGTTGTTTCTGGTTTAGGGAGAGGGAAGAAACCACACAACATTAAGCACATCTCAGCGCAGTCATCTTCCCAAACGCAAACTTTGCTGCAGCCAGGATAAATGCAGCTGCTGAAGGTGTAGGTCAGGTTGGAGCAGGAAACCAGAAAGGTCAAGGTGAGGAGAAAAACAGGACTTGCAGATCACTGCTTGAGCATGGGTAGAAAGTATGAGCATTTCCAGCCAAGCATATCTATAGTGACAGAACACACTGTGGTGTCCTTTTTTCTAACCTGCATATTCACTTTCTGCACTTCCAAAATGGAACAAAGTCACCCAAGTATATCTTTCCTGCCACAGAGAAGACTCTCCAAAAGGACCAGGTCAAAGGGCTGAGTGCCCTCACCCCTACCCTAATGTCAGCCTTCTCCAGTCCCTGAGGTCCTTATCTCTCTCTTTTTGGTGACACATGGCAGTGAGGTGCACCCAAAGGAGGCTTCAAAGAGACAACACTGTGGGATGAAACCCCCTGGCAGAGGGGGTAAGCAGGTATCAGAACAAACTCACTACACAGGGAACAGGTGGAGGCATAACCAAAACCAAGCTGTCAATGCTCTGCTTTCAGGAAACATTCAGGCCTTTGAATCCCCATTGTGAAACTTCCTGGTGGTTTTAACCACAAGGAGATGAACCAGGAGAGCCTTACTTTGTTCTGCCCTGGTCCAAACACTGGCTAAGGACAAGGAAAGCACCACACCCAGGGATACCCTGAGCAAAGGAGATGGGACTCTCATCTTTGTCCTGTTACATGTCTGGGTAAACTCTTTATCTATAGACAGTCCTCTTGGGCTGATCCAAGAAGGAAGGCCCAACCTTCATAGCCTGGGATGGGCCTACAGAAGAAAAGCCTTTCTCCATCCTGTGCCCAAATGAGGCTCCCAACACCACAAGCTGGAAGGCTGCTGCCTCCAGAAACAACTTCCCAGGCCCCAGAAGGAACTGTGGAGGAAAGGATTGTCTCAGTGCCCCCAGCTTGCAGTGACTTGTAGCTGATCTGGCAAGGCACTAGTCAATTAGAAATACAAGTAAACACAGTAATCATTCATCACTCCCAAAGCCCTTCAGGCTAGGGACAGCCTTTCCCTGCTGTCTGGCTGTCAGGGAACACTTCTGTGCACAGGATCAAAGCTGTCATGGGGAGAATGAGTAAATTCCAACCAACTTGTCTTTCAGTAGGATAAAAAGGGGGCAGTTGCTAGGATAAATTAAAACATGTCTGTGAGGAGATGTCTCAATGTCTAGAGAGACACTAGTGTACACAGACATAGAATACGAGAGTTGGAACTGGTTCTCAGAGAGATTATTTTCTGGAAGAGCAGCTCCAGGCAACTTCAAGCCTCCCAAGGAAAAGCCATAAAGCCATGATAAACTGAGTGGCTCAGAAAGAGCAAAGCTACAAGGAGATACCATGAGCCTCTGCTCACTTCTGAGCAAGAGTAACGTTTTTTTAACATCACTACTAAATTACATTTAGAAGAGGAAGAAGATGACAATGACACTTTTGGGCTGCAAAGCTTCTTCACCACAGCTCAGGCAGATTTCAGCAATGCTCCATGGGGAAGGAATTTTTGGAGCCATGCTTTAAGAGAGAACATTAACACAGAGCTGAAGAGAAAGTGGAATAATTTATCTCATTCTTGGTAATAGGCTATCAAACCTTCCTTCCTGAATTATTTGCTTTATAGCTAAGAATTATAGACACTAACATTAAATGTCTGGATGTGTCCTTAACACAGGCTGTGGCTTAGCCTAAGCTTAGCTAAGGTTTGTTTTGGAGATGTGGACCACAACTATAAGCCTTTCTGAAAGGACTGGTATGAGAGCAAAGGTTTGTCCTGAAGGAAACTGAGATGGAGCAAAGCCATTTCAGGAGCAGCAATCATCAAATGGAGCTGTGCAGGGGAAAGTGTAGAGGTCTGCATATAAGGTGAAGTGGAACATGGTGTGAGTAGTGCAGCTCCCCTTCCATAGCAGCCATGCACTCAGCAACAGAAGATGAACATGGAACCTGGTGACTCATGGTAGACTTGTCAGCAGAGCAGACTTCATAGTTAGGGTGGAAATAGCTGTTTGCATTTAATCCTCTTTATAACAGTTGAAGGCCCAGTCACTTTGGGGAAAAGGATTGCTTTGCAGACTGGCTTCCAGGGGATGTAAGGGGTTATTGTAGTTGAACTTATTGGTTCAACATACTGGCAAGGGGTTCCTGATGTTCCCAAGGCTCTGGGTACAATTCCAAAGGAGGAAAATGAAGTAGGAGCATGGCTCAGCAGATAGAGACAGGCTTCACTGCCAAATTGCCATCTCTCATCGAGATGAGCACTTGGAAGTCATCAGCACTGGAGAGCAATTCCTGGTAGCTTTTGTGGAACAAGCTTTAGGGGCTTAAGTACAGTCCTAACAAAACAGCCACCCAGTTTATGCTATTAAAACCTGCATGAGGGTGAGAGCTGCACACGTGGCTTGTGAGCCAGACCCTCCAGAGCTGGGGAGTGGCAGTGAGGAGGAACTGCTCTTCCTCATCTGCTGGCTCAAGGGGTGGAAAGCACCAGATCCAGGTGCCTCATCCCTAGAAAGCTGGCTATTTCCTTGATGGAGACTGTGCTTCCTTCTCTTCCCACCCACATCAACCCCAATTCCCAGCACCTTACAGAGGAGTTATTCAGATCTAGGAGGTGTTTTCCCCTAAAACATACTCCTTTACTTCTGGACCTGCCCTTGCAATTGTAGCTGAGGGAGAAGGGATCAGGGTCCCTCTGTATCCCTTTCTCCTACTTCTGCAATGAGTTTTGGTTGCTGGCTCAGCTACCTGCATGCAAGGAGGGAGCTTGGGAGCCAACCTGCTCTCCCCATGGCAAACCTGATAATAAACTGGAGAAACCCCAAGTATTTCTGGAGGCTCAGTCTGGTTTTTATTACCTAGTTGCTGTACAGCATTCGTCAGTGTTGAGGCCCAGCTGACTGGCTTCCTATTGAATGAAAATGCAGGGAGCCCAACCTTATTCCTAATGAAGTCAAAGGAAGTTTCTGCTGTTGAACTGGAGAGAATCAGAACCAGACCCTGTGATGTACCATTGCAGTACCATCTCCAGCTGCCAGCAAAGCCAACAAAAATGCTCCAGTTGTCTCGACTGCAAGCTGTGTCCAGTCCAGAATAAGTAAACTGAGCTTTAGCATCCAGATCCACATTGCATGAGCCCCATGCAGAAGTGGAGAACACCCCAGGGGACTCAGATTGTTTTTGCAAAGCCTCTGCTTCGCTCCTAGGGAAGGGCTTTGCAGGTGAGCACTGTTAGAGTGTTCCAAAGGTCCTGCTCTGGCAGGAGGATGAAGCTTGGCTGCAGGGGCTGCAGGACAGCAGCAGGACACGGGGATTTCTTATCAGCCCTTGCATCTGAACATGCTTTCACTAACACTGCTGGGGACTCAGTTGAATCCTGGCAACATCTGTTTGGAAGCGCAGCGCCGCGGATGTGGTTACACGCATCCCAGCAACTTGTGGGAGTTATTAGCTTGTTTGTTTGCCTGAAATATGTATTTTAAAAAAACAAAACAAAACAAACAACGCACAAACAAAAAACAAACCCAAAAAACCAACAACACAGCAAAACAAAGAAACTAACAGCCTTCCACCAAGCGTCAGGCCTTGCGTAAGAAAGGGAGGATGAGCAGCACAGGGTGTACAGAGGTACTGCTTGCCTCTGGGGATGTGAGCACTGTCTCTGTGTTCCACCAGGATTTAATAACCTCACAACATGAGGTGACTGCCTGCACACTGCGCAGGGGTCCCTGCTCGGATGCAGCAGTTGCAGATGTGGGAAAACATTTCCAGCGTTACCAGCAGCACCTCCTAGTGCTTGGACAAGAGAGAAGCAGGATAACACCACTACTATAACAATAACAAAAGCATCATCCTTAATTCTTTTGTGTTGGAGTGCTGTTTTGCCTTGAGAGCTCCCAGGAGATGATCGGTTTGCTAGTGGTCCAGCATTTTATAGACTGCCTCTTCCAAAAGATCCCAAGTCATTCCAAAAGTGGGAATAACTCCATTCACCACAAGAATGCAGTCACATCAGGGGTAGGATGTGGTAGCTCTTCAACAGCAGAAAAGCTTGGAACAAGGAGAGGTGAAGGCTCTTCAGCCAAAGGCATGGAGGGAACATCAGGAACAGACCTAGGTAGAGATTCCTCCAAGCTCAACAGGTTAACCCTACTGACAGGCCTGATTTTGGACCTGGGTTTTACTTTCACACCTGGTGCCACCCCAGGGCAGCAGGGATTTATGGCCCACACACATCCACTGGCACAGGCTGCCCACTTATTACCTGGTGAAATAACACTCCCTTTGCTGGCAAATCCATCGAAAGGGACTTAGAAAGAAAATCAATAGATGTGTTTGCCTGGGAATTTCTCTTGCAGTGAGACACTGTCAGTCTGGTACCCACCAGGTCTGTAAAGAGCCCAGCCAGATTTAATGCTGCCCACTGCTAGCAATGGGCAAACACTGCTCAGGGCTGGCAGGATGGCATGGGGACAATGTCCAGGGGAGCCAGCAGTGCTCCTCTGTCACAAGAATGCCTGTGAGCAAGAAGGTTGATGCCAGCCCCTCTCGCTGCCTGGGAAATGCTGTACCTGTGCTAAACTCTCCTGCAGCATCCCTGGGGCTCACATGTGGGCTGGGGCAAGGGGGAGCTCAGGCAAGAACCTGTCCTTTGGGGAATGCAGCTGTCCCACGGCGTGGCACCCTCTGAGGGAAGCCTGGGTGCAGCCAGGAGCAGCCTGTCCCGGGGGATGCAGCACTGCGGGCCCGGAGTGTGCCCTGCAGCCTGCAGGCCAGCGTGGGTGTGTGCCCGTGGGACAGCTCTGCTGGGACCCCTGGGGTGGGACAGCTCTGCTGGGACCCCCGGGGTGGGACAGCTCTGCTGGGACCTCTGGGGTGGGACAGCTCTGCTGGGACCCCCGGGGCAGCCG